TGAGATGTTTTTTCTCACGTTGATTCAGCACATTCCCAGTGAATGGGCTAAAGGAGTGTTAAGCAATGATGAAAGCCTAACAGAAGAGAGGATTGAAGAGGTCTTGAATGAGTTTCTTGAAGATTTCAGAAAGAATGTGCTGAAAGCCAAAGGATGGCCTACTTATCTGGGAGCACCTGCTTATAGTGTCTCAAAAGCAGCCATGAATGCCTACACCAGGATTCTTGCCAAGAGGTACCCAAGTTTCTGCGTCAATTGTGTTGCCCCAGGCTTTGTCAAGACAGATATATCTTGCAACATGGGCAACTTAACCCCAGCTGAAGGAGCAGAAAGTGCAGTACAGTTAGCATTGCTACCAATTGGCGGGCCTTCAGGCCTTTTGTTTAACAGGAAAGAAGTTTCCTGTTTTTGAATGAAATAAAAATAGATGGAGATAAATCTACGAAGTTTGCTGATTTCTATGTACTTTCATTTCATGTAAAGACGCCTTGGGCTTATGTTAGATTTTTATTTTGTTAAAATCAATGAAAGCAAAAGACAGTTTGAATTTGAAGAATTCCATGAGGTTTCATTTTTAGTATGTAGTTAATATTGATGCAAGAAAGAATAGAAAATAAGATATTTAGTATCCCCTACTGGTAAACAGAGAACCAGGCGTCCCAAGCTAAAGAACAAACTACACCAGGTTGCAGCTTCTGAATATTACTTTGGAAATGCGATTCAAAGTTCGTAGGACATAGCGGAGAAACAGAAGATAAATTTCACTAAACATCCTGAATGCGACTATGAAACCGAGACCAGAGTTTCTCTTTCAGCAATTCCATCTCATCATGGCACAGTTGACACAGAAGTAACAAACAGTTCTTTCATGGTGATTTTCCTTTTTCTTTCTACGCCCCTAAGTGCATTAGACTTTAAAATCATGTTATGATTGTCACTTTTGATTTCTTTTGAAGGTATGCAATTGTTACTGGAGCAAATAAAGGGATTGAACTGGAAATATGTAGGCAATTAGCCTGTAAAGGGATCATGGTCGTGTTAACTGCTAGAGATGAGAAGAGGGGTCTTGAGGCTGTTGAAAAGCTCAAACAGTCTGGTCTATCCGATCATGTAATTTTCCACCAGCTCGATCTTACAGACCCTGCTAGCATTGCAGCTCTTGCAGATTTTGTCAAAACCAAGTTTGGAAGGCTTGATAGATTGGTATACATACATCATCCAATCTCCTCTTTGGAAGTAGCTTTTCTCCCATATTTTTCTTCCTGATCATAATAATGTTGAAACTTTCTCCAGGTGAAAATTGCAGGAATAGCAGGTGCTGTAATAGATGATGAAGCTTTAAAAGCTTCAAGTATTTCTGCTACTGAGGTAAATATGAAATTAAGAGGCAACTTTGAGAGATGCAGGGCTTTTTACTTGTTCTGGAAGGCAGTGATTATGTTTAGTTCTAAGAAACTTTGAGTTGATTCTGACTGATGCAGAAGGATGTGGTTAAAGTTTGGAATAGAGTTACGACTCAAACCTATGACTTAGCAGAAGAATGCGTGAAAACAAACTACTTTGGTGCTAAGACAACGACTGAGGCTCTTATTCCCATGCTTCAGTTATCTGACTCACCAAGGATTGTTAATATTGCATCCAGCAGGAGCATGTTGAAGGTACAGAGGACATGCTTGATATGCTTTCCCTTTATTTTGGTAAAGCATTCTATTTAACCTAAGTGGTTGCTTCCCATTTTGTCTCAGTACCTACCCGGAGAAGAGCTTAAAGAAGCCTTCAGGAATGTTGATACTCTCACAGAAGAGAAACTGGATGAGATGATGACTGAATTTCTGAAAGATTTCAAGGAAGGTGCATTGGAAATTAAGGGCTGGCCTTTTCATCTCCCTGCCTATACAGTCTCAAAAGTTGTTCTAATTACATACACAAGGCTTCTGGCCAAAAGGCACCCAGGTTGCTGCTTCAATTCTGTTTGCCCTGGCTTTGTCAAAACAGATATAAATCGCAACGCTGGTACCCTGACTGTTGAGAACTCCAATTGTGTTAGAAGTCTTGCCCAAAGGCAGTCCTTCTGGCCTCTTTTACCAGCAAGGTGAAGTGGCAAGTTTTTAGTAAAATTATCTAGTAATCTTATGCCAAGGAAGGTGAAGAAGCTACATGGCATCTAGATTTTGTTCATTTTCTAGCATCTGCCATAAAATAAGAGTCCTTACCCTCCTTTGTAATCCATTGTTTCAATTATGATGCATCTATCTGTAATCTAAAGGATTATAGTTAGAAAATAAGCTGCAAAATGCAAAATATGTACTATGGAAAGCAACTCAACGTGAGAAATTTTTCTGTATCATGCGAGACCTTGGACTAAACAGAAAGGAGTTTAGGAAAACTCAAGAAGAAGGTGATATTTTCCGTTGTATAATCCACAATCAGACAGTAATCTTGATCCACTGCAGGAGGACCTGGATGCTTGGAATTGAATAGTGACTTGTGAGGATTGCTAAGAAGTTTCCTTGTGAACCCAAAACAGAAAATGGAACCTAGAACTAGAAGTAAACGGCAATTTCCTTTCAACTTCCTCGCTTGTTTTCTTCACTTTCTAGAGGTCCACTAAATTTGGTTGCTTTCCAAATTTATTGAGGAAATTGCTCCTCCTGTTTCCCTTGGGAATATACCAATTTAGAATGTAGAGTTCCTCCAAATCCTCACTCCATCTCCTTTGAAAAAAAAATATACATATATAAATAAATTAAAAATCTTGCTTTACGGTCTGAATTGATTATGATTGTAAAATAAGAATTATTAATGAGAAAGGGCTTTAATATTAAGTGATTGAATTCTATCAAATAATTAATATTTTATAATTAAAATAAATTTAGATTGTCAAATGCTTTTTAAAAAAAAATTATTTTATGAAATAAAGCAAAAAGGAATGTAGTAATGCTATAATTAAAACGTTTGGTATAATTGTAAGACAATAATAATTTATTATTAAATAAATATATATTTAATATATT